CTACTACTACTACTACTACTACTACACACACACACACACACACACACACACACACACACACACACACACACACACACACACACACACACACACACACACACACACACACACACACCCCAGTTAAGTGACCAAAAAGATAAAACATGCCAGAGTTGCTTTATGTACATAATGTTTTTGAATGCTATTAATGCATTAAATAAATATTTGGACACCGAACGCATTTCAATAACAAATATACCTCGGATCCTTAAGGTGGAGGAAAAAAAAGCCCACTGACACACAGAATGATAGTAGACTTTTATTAACATATCTTACAATGTTGATTACTGTATTCCTATTTTTGTACCTTTTGATGTGTTATAAAGTGATTTAAATGCTACAGTAATGTACTGTACTTAAATGATCATTCAGCCAGGATACCACACCAGTACATTTGAAGAATGCACACACCCACACCCACCACTCTAGTTTGGAGCTGTTATTTTTCAAAGTAAGCTTAATATAGCAGGCTTTAAAAAGTTATGGGGGAAATCAAAATTCTAGTTTAGCAGCATGCATGTATATTCAAGTAAAATTCTTGAATCAAGTGCTTTTTTCTTTTTTTAATTGACTGGTGACTAATTCACCAATACCAAAATAAACACTATGAAATACCCAGATTTTAAAGTTAAGGCTAATAATTTTACTTCACATCCATATGCACAACCATAAAACATTCTATTTTAAATAATACACAGTAATCAATTTCTGGAGACATTATCTCTTGTAAATATAGCATCAGAGTTTCAAACTATAGATTACTCAAGTTCGTGAGCCCTGTAATAATGTTGTGCTGGAGATGTAAAGAATCTTTTTGCTCTTCAACCACGTTTACAAAATGGCCTAATAATTCATTATGAGCAATGCAAAAATATTACAGGCTGAACTTATGATACAATATTAAAAAAGTAGTATTTTGGAAAAGACATAGCTATTCAGTTGGTGAAACAGAATAATTCTAATCTTACAAGTAGTATTCTAATGCTTTTGAAATATATATATATAAAAAACAGCACACCATTATAATGTATTTTAATTGTAGATCTTGGGGAAAACCCTCAGGGCATCACTATTTTTTTTTTTAAGTGGATTTTTTTTGTCTGTCCACTGCTCTTGACTGCTGTATGGTCATTGTATTTCCCCTATACACTTTTCACTAGATAATGACTTTCAGTGAGACCCTTAAAGAGGGATCTGTTTTCATTTTGTACACATGGTTTTAGCATTAGATGTTTTTATTTTACACATATAAATTTTATTTTACATAACAAGCTATGAAAAGTCCATAGTACCAGGAACTGCTTGATAGTACTGTATGAAATAGCCAACAAATGTCTGACTCATTTGAGAGAAAAGCTTAGTAGCAATATATTACATACCAGTATTTATCTGTAATCTTCCCTACCTACTTACAGTGTGGAGTTTAGCCCAATCATGCCTATTCTCATGGATCTGTAAGACCTCTGAATATAAACTGTTTATTCGGCATTCTTCCAATGAGGATTCAGATGCATTGCTCATTCACCAGGGCCACCTCTATTGCGCTTTTTTCTTTTTAGGAAATCAAGCAGAAAGAGCACTGATTACTCTGCACAAATACAATACAGATGAACCTCTTGAGCTGACATGAAAGATTCAAAATTATGTTTTATTTGCAGGATAACCCACATGTTTCCAATCCAATCATTCTGAAACATGCATCTGGTTGGCAACGAAAGGCAGGCAGGGTTGTAATTAGAACCTGCCATGTTGTAAGTCTGACAAATTTTGTACATACAGTAACATCTATATATATTATCACCAGTAATTTACTCAACTGAAATGGCAAATTTCATTTCTGGAAAAGAAAAAATAAGAAAGAATACGTGTTCTGTTTTCATAGCAAGCTACTTAATTCGCAGCTATTTCATTTATACATGGAAAATATCTATGAAATTCCTGAGAATAAATAAGGTTTTCAGCAATGCGTGAAATCTTTCAATAGACCTTTCACAATAAGTGAAATGTTCTTTAAAGTTCTATTTTAGACCCAGTGTTACTATACAGTCTCACAAATCATGTGTTTTATATAATTACAATTGGATATCAAGCAAAAATCTCAAATTAATACAAGAAAGGCAAAGAAAAATCTATCCAGTATGTTTAGCAGATGTAATACACATATAGTGTTTCAGCAGAAGATGCTAAATGACTCAATTCCACCCAGAGAAATATAAGTTCCTGGGACCTGTCATCCCTAAACAAGTATAAGTACAACTTGTGCTTCTTATCATTAGTGGAATTCTAAAAATACAAAACAAAAGGAGACTACTGAATGAATTTAGATTTTTCACACCATTCAGAACGGATTTTTAAATTGTCATACCATTAATTTGGTACCAAAAGCACCTAATTATTGAAAGACTTCATATAATGGCATAGTTTCACTCCCCCCCTCGCCCTCCCTGTGAAAGAGCTAAACCCACATTCAGTTAAAGCTATTGTCAGTCAAGTTGCATTCATTCATGGTAAGGCGATGATACGGTACAATATAGTGATAGTTTACAATCCATTGTAATGTGGTCCCCATCTTTTATTGATGTGATCAAAGGTATGAGATACCCACTGCTGTTCAAGCACCTTATATCTTTCCTTACATATATAGAGAGGTTTACCACGCCTACAGGGAGAGAAAAAAAATCAACAGTTAATAGTGAAAAACAAATGGAAAATGTTTATATGGTGGCTCTAAGTTAATAGTAATGTTCTAACAGCGAAGTTAAATGATTTTTGCATTTTTTTTCTTTTCAGTTTCCGTGTACATATGTATATATTTATATTATAGGATGCCGGTCTTCATTTGTTTTAAAACACACATGCATTGAAACTCTTGACAAATAAACACCTTAAAATAATGAACTAAGTGGTAAGACATTAATGCCCAATAGCCCATATTGTAGGGAAAGCTGTGGGAGAGGCCGGTGGGGCAGCAGTCTAGGTACTATAGCACACTCCGTGGGTCTGCAGAGAAGTGGTGCTCTGTGTACAGAGGGCTCTATATGGTTGATCAGGAACATGCAGGAGAGGAGTGGCTGCCCGAGCAGTCTGGAATGTCACTCAGGCACCTGAAAACCTGGGCAGAGCGGCACTGCGACCCCATGCACCAGACGAAGGGGCTATCGGGTATTAATGTCTTACCGCTTAGTTCATTATTTTATGGTGTTTATTTGTCAAGAATTTCAATGCATGTGTGCTTAAAGACAAAGACAGGCATCCACTTTAATTGGCAGATGAAACGGACAAAACCAAATCCAACTATGAAATATCATAGCATTCTCCTCCATTGCCCACCTAGGATGAATAGCCACAATCCTTACTTTATCCCCTAAACTCATATTACTTACATTCTGCACGTATATCATTATAACCTCAACAATATTCCTAATAATCAAACTTCTAGAAACAAACAAGATTTCTGTAATAACATCATCATGAACAAAACTCCCAACCCTACACACCATATGGATTCACAGAGATGGCAAAGCCTCTCCTTCTCAAATTGACATTCTGCAGGAAATTCCTGCACCACAACGTACACCTTGCAAGTAGCACAATCCATTTCTTAGTAAACAAGTTCCAGATCATTTTATTTATATAAATCTAATTAGCATAATATAACAAATACAATGACAACATTTACATTTCTAAATATGTGCTACTCAGGAAGTGAGAACTTGTTAATTACTGTATCTGTTTTATTACACACTGTAAACATGAAGCAGCAAAATCAAAACATGCTTTATTAAAAGGTTACCTAAGATCTCGGTCTTCTTCACCATGTGCATCTAGATAAACAGAACCCCAAAGGCAGAAACGATGGCCTCGAATGATGATGATTACAGATGCATTGATCAGAAGAAATATTCCTGTCCCAGCTCCACAGTTCTGGGAATGCTAGAAGTTATATTTTGGGGTTAGGGAGGGAAGAGTACAAATATCCTATTAATGGCTGACAGTTTTATAATAAAGAGAACATTTTATTTCAAACACACTACTTATATGAATGAGAGTCACATCACTTACTAAGGAACAATTTGATCCTTGCCTCTACTGTATACTTAGACACTAAGGGTTATATGTTTCCAGGGATTTGCATGATAAAGTAGAGTCTAACATACATTTTATGAATAAGCCAAAACCTCGTACATGATATGTTGCCATAATACATATACACGAAGTTCCATGCAAAAGATGGTTCCAAACTCAAAAAGGGAATGTTGTCTAAGAAAAGCAGAAGTACAACAACATGCCACCCTGGGGAAAAACTAAGTTACTATAGAAAACTGAGTGAAAGTGTTCACAACAATATCTCTAACTTGCTACTAGCAGAAGTGCACAATTTGCTGTGGCAAAATATTATTTTTTAGTGAACAGTGAGAATTTGAGATTCTCTCAGATTATGAAGTACTCAGGGTATTTTGCTGCACACTGCTCTACAGGATGGACTCCTATTTGCAGATGTTGCCATACTCGTGTATTGCTCCTCATCTTGCCCTTCACAGTATCTACACTGGTCACAATTAAAAAAAAAAAATGACTTCTTAAAAGGTGAAACTCCTGGTTACAATAATATGTTTTTATTGTTCATGAATGACATATATATTATTTTATGCAGTTCATTTCTGTAATTGTATTTTGAAGATTTTAGCCCTTTCCACACATTTTTACTACAAAGGAAATTTATGACCACAGAACTAAAATATAATTAATTATCTAAATATTGCAAAGTATTCTATTTTTTGTCTTATACCTTTATTGTCTATAGTATATTTTCATAAAAATGACCTCTCAAATGTAGTCCTTATGTCCAACTATTTTAAAGTTTGATCATTTTTTCTCATACCATATTATTTTTTTGTGACTGAATTGGAGATAATACTATTTTCCACTTATAAAGCACCTGTCACTTCAAGTACTTCAGAAAGGTGCATAAGTATTATCCTTATGGGTTTTTTTCATCATGGCAATTTTTAGGAATAAACACATGCAGAGCTCATGCTGAAAAGAGTAACTCATGGAAATATAATTTTAAAATTTTAAAAGGTCAAGTGTCATTTAATCCCCAATACCTTTAAAAAAAACATTTTAGAGGAAATTACTAGAACTCTACTTGCGCTGTGAAAACAGCAGCCAACTTTGAGTATAGTACAATAGTTACCATCTCAGGGATGAAATTTGCAAATCCATTCTACTATAAACTCTTCACAATTTAAGCCTTTTTCTTGCATTTTATGCTGGATGGGGAAGAATCCACCCCAGAGTTCCCGGGTCTGCCCCTTTCTGCTCTCTCTGTCTCATGTGCAGCCTAAGATTTAACATGGCAGCACTCAGTCCTCAGTGAAACCACCCACATCCACTCACCAATAAATAAAAAAGTCACTAAAATTCAAGAGTAAAGAATATATTTTTAAAATATTAAAATCACAATCTAACTCCCATGACAAAAATGCAGCCTTAATTATCTTTATTTTACAGGTGGGGAAAACGAGGCACAGAAACGTGGAAACTGAGAACACAGCAGTTAAGGCCCAATTTTAAAAGCTATAGCCAAAGTGACCTGCTCAAGTTTACACATCAAGAAAGTGGTGGTTCAGAATAGAATCCAGCTGTGCTGACTCCCCCCTCTGCTTTTCTCTAATACTGGAAACATATTCCTACAATAAAGAGCATGGAGTTCACAGGAACACTCATGAAATGTGGAGACTTTAATTTTTAAGTTATTGATATGAATATGCATCTAAAGATAGTATTGATAAAACAGTAAAGACTGATGGCTCTTCTGTGGCTTATGCGAAATGAGTTTGTGGTCTCAGTCAACTTTCTAGTGGTCAAGCGGCCACAAATAAACAAATCACACACACACACAAAAATCATAACCACAATTTGTAGCCTTGTTGGGAAACTTAGTAGAGCTTTATAATAATTCAAGTTTTATATTAAGACTTCATGGGATTGAACATAGGATTTTTAACACTGTCTTTTAAAGTAACTATTTTCAAGAACATTTTCTTAATGGTGTTATTAGCAACAAACCAGATGAATCAAACAAAAATTAAAGATCATTATCTGTGTTGTTTACATTTTGCATTTCATTCAGAAAAGTAAAATAAACCACACTCAGTTTTACTTTTATTTCTGTTCAGTTTCACTTTGTAGCTTCCCTGCACTAGTACAATGCTAAAAAGTTTAGGATGAACACACTACAGGAAATTAAAAATAAACTTGTTTTCATTCACATTTAAATAAAACATCTATGAATTATCAGATGGTATAAAAATTAAATACTAAACTGATTTTTGGACTTAAAAACCATGTGATAGTTTCTCTTTAAATATATTTATACTAATTTTATAATGGCTAGTCTTGTGTCAGTACCATGGATATACTAATTCAGGAACAATCACAAGATTCTTTTCTCAAACCAGCTTTGCAGAGATGGCAAATGTGAACTTCAGAGCGAGAGTGGGTGACAGCCATTGACTTACAGAACTGTTCCACCCATTTAGTAACACTAGCACTGGCCTCAGAGCAGACCATTTACTGTCCTTCATCATGGAGGGAGAATAAGGCTAGTTTCTGTCCAAACGAGGAAAGTAAGGACTGGCCCTTAGAGGGAGAAGTACCTACATATTCTCTCACTCAAGTTGCCTTAGAGATAAGTTCAAATACCTTAAGGGCTGCCTCCTCCTCCAGAAGTCTCCTGTGAGGGGGCAGACTAAAAATTTAATTAAAACATGTTTGGAAATGAAAACTATCAGAGCTGAGAAAGGAACGCAGAACTTCTTAGCATGATTTTTTTTTAATTTAAAAATGGAAATAAAGCTACAGTAGTTTGAAATTCTCTTATTGTAGAATTCTCTCTTACCAGTACACATTCACAGTAACTCTGTTGTTTGCAGCAAAGTCCTTTCAAGCATACAAAAGTACCACAAACTAGACAAACAGCAGGATCTTTAGGAACCTTGGTACAGACAGTACAAGTCTTTCTGTGATAATACTGGAAGATGGTATTATAATTTTCAGGCAACTGAAGGAGACATGGCAAGTCCCACTTAGGCTCCTGTATAAGCAAAACCTAAAAAGAAAATGATAGAAACATTCATCAGTGTTGTATGTATATTTATCTGTGCTGTGAGAACTTTAGAACTTGTAGCCCTAACAACTCAGAGTAAATCGAGCACTGTGGAGTAATTTGCCACCTGAGTATAGGATAGGAAAAAAAACTTTTAATGAAACAGTAGCCCTATTAAAACATAATCAGCATCCGGGGCAAGCTGTGATCCTTTACCCAAAAAAGTAAAGGTGACCCAAAAAGATAAAACACCCACGCAGATATCTAAAGACCTTTTACCTAACCCAATAGACAATGAAGAATGGCAAAGGGGATTTTTCAAAGTTGTACCCACAGACTTAACAAGTAAATCACAAGTGCGTACATACCTGTCATCCATACAAGGAAGGATTTCCGACCAATGCCCTATAAAAAGGCGATTCATCTCACCATTTTGGAGGCAATCTACTCTTCATTGTCTCCATCTTCAACAACGCATCGATGCTACCCATCTATGACGGCTATTAATTAACTATTAATAGGCCATACTTTTTTTCTTTTCAAACTAAGTTTTAAGGGGACTAGGCTAAGCTTGGTTTCCCTACACTTTATTTCAGTTTAAGGTTTATTAAGTTAAGTTAGAAAGTAAACAGCTTTGACAGCTCTTTGCATCAGTTTCCTCTGCTGGAGCTGTGAAGCCGGAACCGCCAGAGGCGGGGTCCTGTATCTTCCAACACTAGGTTATTAAAATAAAGTGTGAGTATTAACCAAAGTTTGCAGCACATAATATTGTATTATCATATGTGTCTCTTGAATAACAGTAGTACAATTGCAACGCTGTAATTCTAACTGTTTTACCATTTGCTTACTATTTCATTGATTTTAATAAAAGGTCTTTATGACTATATCTGTCTCAGTGTAAGCTTCCTGTCATACCCCCGAAGGTCCTTTTATAAACTCTGTGAAGCCTGATTCAGGACAAACTTTTATCTTCTGATCAAATTGGCGAGCCTAAACCCATACTAATTAATATCCATCATAATTATTATATTAATATTATTAAGAATTAAATAAAATTAAATTAAGTGAATAAATTAAATCAACATTACTAACACACCCAAAATCAGGCTACAAACTACAAAATGTAAACATCAGAATTTTATTTAAAGGAGGGAAATGTGCTCTTTGAGATGGCCCATTCTTTCTACTGCATTCCACACAAGCTCCAAAGTGTCCTTTAAATGCCTTTTGGCTGAAGACGACTAGACGTGGCTTCCTATGGATCCTATTAATGCTGCATTAAGACTTCAGCCAGAGAGCATCACTCAAGAGCAACATGCTTCTTGCCTCAAGGAGCTCAGCATACTCATAAATTGCTCTAGTAAGGTTACAAACTGATACGGACTGCCTTTCCTCAGGGCACAATGCATTACACCTTCTAAAGGCAACAAACTTCACAGGTAAAACATGGGCCTTAAGTCTTGTTTACACTGCGGATTTGCCCTGATTATAGCCATTAGTGGACAGCCAGTGACATAGCTGCACCTAGCATGGACAGGCAAAGCTGCTACTTGTTCTGAAATTTGGGGCCAAAAACAGTAGGGTAAAGTTAGGCTCTGAAACTGAAGTCTAGGAACTTGCTTGATTTTCAAACATACTGAGCACTCAACAATTCCCAGTTAAGTTGATGGGAATTGCTATTCCCTCTGAGGTCAATGTACTCAGTACATTTAAAAATCAGACTGGTGCCTAAATATTAGTTTCAGAGTCTAACTTTACCCTCTTATTTTTTGAAAAACTTTGCCTAAAATTTTTAAAGAGCCAATAATACATTACAGTTGAATCTATTCCATTTTTTGCAGGTTACCCACTTAAGGGCACATATGTGTGAGGATCTTTCTTACAAATTACTGTTCTGTTCACAAGAGTTTGTTATAAAAACTGAAAGAGGTCTTATTTGGAAAATACAGTAAAACAGCAGTGTTCTTTTTCAAACATAAAAACGATATCAATAGTTTTATGACCATGGCTCAATGGTCTATCGAATGAATCAGATCTACTAAGGGCAAGAACGTTTTGTTATTACCATTAGGGTTCAAGTTTTCAAAACAAAATTGTACCTGCAAAATATGCAAGTGAAACAGATGCAAGCACAAAACACACATATTGGGGGTTCAACTATGCCTGCTTATTTTGTCATGATAAATTTAAAACACAGCATTACACATACACACACAGCATAACTAGATTCAAGGAATTCCATTCTTACACATCAGCACTGTATGGGGGGGGAGGGGTGCAAATTTTTTTACGTACCTTCACTTGTTCTGCATGTCTGTCTGCAAATGAAGCCAATTCTAAGCACCACTGTGATATCATATTAAATGCTGGCACTGGCCATTCAAGGCAAGAGGCACTGGTGAATTGATGTGGTGACTGAAAAGATGATGGTAATAGACCCAGGCAGTTTGTAAGAACTGTAAATTCTTCATCTTCCTTTTAGACATGAAACAAGAAAGACTTGATCATTTTGTATTATACACTCAAAGCACAGCACTGTATGTATCAATTCCATATCAACGAATATGTAAGTGACTGGGAGGGAGCATGGCAGAGTGAGGCTCTGCTACACCTGATTCTTCAGTGGTGTAAAATCCTTGAGGGACCTTACATCAGAGGTGCAAGTTAAAGCTGTCCCTGAACTTGGGTGAAGTGGAGAATGAAGCCCATAAAATGTTAGCTTACACTTCACAGACCTAAGACTGAAGTCTAGTTTGAATGGAAATACTGTATTCTCTACAAATACAGAACAGGTTTTAAGATTATTTTGGTGATATATCTGAGAGGCAGATAAACCGGTGTAGGGCTCCAATGCTACAAACACACATGTGCTTAATTTTAAACATGAGTAGTCCTACAGATTTCAATGGAACTACTTACATGCTTAAAGTTAAGCACATACATACATGTTTAGAACTGAAGCCTAAATTGATAATTAGAGAAAAGGAAGAAAACATAAAATAAGGCTATAAATTTATTCAGAGCACATTGGTAATACAGGGATGAAATGAATGGGATAAAACAATACAGGGAAAGGACCTGAAAGAAAAAAAATGTGAAGTATTCATAAATGAATTACAGTATGCCCAAGATGCATGCCAGCCAGCAAAAAGTATATGATTAGGAATAATAATAATAATAATAAAAATAAAAAAGACCAATTTGGATAAAGATAAGCAGAGTAATCAAGGGTGAGAGAGAAGAGGCTGCACAGTATTAAATGACAGATGATGACAGGACAAATTATAGAATGACGATAAGGGAGTGTAAAAATGGAAAGAAAATTTAAGTAAGAGAAAGTAAAGGAGCTTGCACAAAAGATTAAGACAAAGATTATCACATTTTTCATTGGAACAATAGAAATCAGCAAAGGAGACATACAGCTTTTAACAAATATAGAGTATAACTGATTGACAGAAAAGATACTACAAATACACATATTAATTTGTAAAATAGAACAGGAGATGGATGACAGAAACAAGATCAGGAAAATATACACTGAATGAAATTAGGATCGTTTCCAAATGGGTATGAATGAAATGTCTGAGAGCCATCAAGTTCTAAGGCAAGACAAGATTCACTGCAGAATTATGGGGTGAAAGTTGCAAGAGATACAGGGCAAACATACTTGATCAACTGGCAAAATATATGGATAGAAGAGACCTATTTACTAGGATCCCCTGCCAATGAAAGATTAGTAAATGCAAAGCAGATAACAATGTTTTGTCCAGTCTAGTTTTAAAATGCAACAAGAAGGGTTCTAATACTTTTTCTATGGAGATCATTTTACTGTCTAATACATCTCCTTGAGATATTCTAGTCATACTAAATTTTTCATTTAATTTCTTACCATCACTCCTAATTATTTCCCTTTTACTATGCTATGTTATTTCTCCCTTTTCCTTCCTAGTGCCTATGTCCTTTAAATAACTGTAAACTTCTGCCCCCCATAATCTGTTTAAGTAGGTGCTGGTTGCTATGGCAGAAAAGGAGTTATTGCTGGTGCTGGGGAGCATTAAATACCTACAGTCAAATGTGTATACTGTAGTCCGATGGATGCTAGTAGTTTTTTGGGGTGGTGGCTAGTAAGACTGTCCAGGATGACTCCATCTTGAACATGGGAGTATGTACGTGAAGTGGAAAGACCATCTTTTGACTATAACGTAAACCTAGTAGGACCATGAGAATAGCTGGTCTGAAGAGAAGGACACCCCTGTTCCTATCACTTTTCTAATTTAATTGGCCACTTGCGTCAGTTCAAGTACATAGTAAGCAAAAACCCATCCAGCTAGAGATTGAGTTTGTCCACTTGCAGAAGAAAAAAGGAACAGACAACGAATATATTTTAAAAATGAGTTTTGAGAAATATGGAGACTCATCAAGAAGAGAAATACAGAAAGACGGCTCCCATCATCGAGAGCTGCAGAAGGAAAGGGTCTCTCAGCTATTAGTGGCAATACTGTGGAGAAGGACTGATTTAGGAGACCATTGCCAGAAGAGAGTGGTGGGATAAGGTCAAGATCTACTGAGTTAATAAAAATTGAAGGGCAATAGAATATAGAATGACTAGGGTAGACTAGAAAAAGAATAGGAGAAAGGGTGAAATGAGTTGCAGACAAGGCTGGCCCACAACTCTATCCTTCCTACTCCTCACTGGAAAGGATAGGGGAGGAGCAGAACTGCTCTTTTTCTATCTTCCTTTTAGCACAGGGAGCCGGCCAACATCTGGGTTTATTCTCTTCCAGGAAATACATGGCAATTGTTTTAAACACCACCACTGCAAAGAAAAAAGGTGGTACCAGGCTATTTAAAGACCTCCTCCTACTCCTCCAGTAGAATCAATGACCGCTGAAATGGCTACTCGGGTTTCATGCAACTCCCAAGGTGGCCAGAGATAAGGAGTGCCACCTCAAGCAGGGAAAAAGCCTGGCCCAGATCTCACCCCTCCCACCAATTTGGGTATCTAAATTCCATCGGGAAGCATGAAAGAAGCGTGGAGAAGATCATCAGCAGCATTAGGCATTGTAAGAACCCTGTCTGAGGATTTGCCGAGAGCCAGAGCAAAGGAAATGTAGCATCATCTGAAGTGGCCTCAAGCCCCTGCACAGCAGCACCTCATGGATGGATCTGTATTTCAGTTAACTGCAAGACAGGGAATCCTGTGTTAATGCAGTTTTGTAGTTTACTGAAGTACAGCTGAATTAAGTTTTATTGCAATTGTGATAATCACTCCAATCCTATTCTGCCATAGATAATGTGCTGGGGAATATCCAGCAATTCTTGACTCTAGGCATGTAACTGCTTCAGACTCATTCATTAGAGTTTAGCTTGGAACAACCACTTTCCTAAAAGCAATTACCATTTAAGCTGTAAACTCCTGTAGAGTCCTAAATCCTACAGTATTTTCATATTCATTTCAAATGAAATAAATGAAAAGGGAAAAATAGGGAAAAATCCTAAGATCTCTCTGGCCATTACTGGGATTCGATCAATTTTTTTATGATGAAAAGATGACAATTTTTTTCCTTACCCGCAAATATCTTTTCTGCCAACAGTACATCTGAAATTCTGTAAGTGTTAATGGGAAATCTTCCTTAGGGGATATACTGGTAGAGCATTAGAACACGCCCACCTCAGAACAGCTCACTCACCTAACTGTAGAAACACTACCCCAGAACTGGCTAATAGTTAGCAGCAAGTTTAAGAATCGGGAGGAAAGGAATCAGGAAGTTTTAGCAGGGATTGGATGGAATGGGTCCTGTTCTATATTTGGGGACTGGACTCTCTGACCAAATTTCTTCTGTGACAGAAATACTTTTCAAAAGAATGGATACAATCAACACTCTTAGCTGGGGTAGGAACAGACAGGCGCTCTTCCTGAAGTCTAATCACAAAATTGGTTGGTGCTGCAGACAGGCTGCAGCCTCAGTCACTGGTGAGATCATCGTCCAAAAATACACCTCTGTAAAAATCTGTACCTTTGTGCTCAAAGGTGGGTTGTCAGTGTAATCAGCATCTGGGTAAACACTCAAACAGTAAGTGAAAAAGTACCGTATATACTCGTTCATAAACTGAATATTTTTGGTAAAAAAGTGACGCATCAAACAGCGGGGGTCAGCTTATCAATGGGTCTACACCAAAATTTGATGATTTTAAACTCTATGGAATCATTGAATTGAATACTAATACATTATCATTTTGTTTACCTGGAGCGTCTGCAGGCATGTGGTAAACAACGCTGTGGTAAACAAAACGTCCAGCCCGCTAGCGGCTTACCCTAACGGGCCAGGAGCCAAACTTTGCCAACCCTTGAAATATAGGGTCGGCTTATGAAAGGGTCATACAGTTTTTGCTATTTTTATCTATCCATCTTGGGGGGTCAGCTTATAAACGAACGGACTAATGAACGAGTATATACGGTAAGTAAAAACTGAAACAGTAAGTGAAAAAGGTGATGGTAATGGGTATCAGATATTTTTGTATCCCAGTTTAATCTGGGTGTGAATATGCACCTTTTTCAAGTTGACTGGTCAGGAAGTCCCCAAAGAGAGACGTAAGGCTTGACAAGAGCCTCTACATCTGGAACGTGAGATATTTCATGCACTCATTTGTCCTCCAAGATCAGTTAGTTTTTTCAGACTGACAGCCATGCAAAGATGTTTTGACTGCAACTGAACTAGTGGGGTGTCTCAGTGGGTCCATGGGCACAACCACCCTGACTTGTTTGGCTAATAACATTTTCACCCTAAGAGAATATTGTGGGAAGCATCTTGGAAGTATGTTAACCCAAGTGAATCATGATGAGGATGCAGAGGAAGGATATATAGTTCCATATTAACGCCAATAACAATTGTGTGTGTGTTCCACTTCTGGAGAAGAAGTCTCCTGCCTGCTCAATTATGGCATCCTTTGCAGGTGTTGCCATTGCTGCATCCACTTTAAATGATCATGATGCAAATAGTTTTGGGTTTTGGTTGTTGTCTTTAGTTTTTGTTTTTTTAACCTTTTGCTGGTTCATTCTCCTTCTCTACTTGTCTATAATAACTTTCAGCAGATTTCAAATTCAAATTCACAGTCTCAAATTTACCTGGCCCTTTTATAGATGGGCCTCAGAAGTCATTCTGATTATTTTAGAAGCAGACTAGTGCTATCAATTCAGACAGACTCAGGAAGCCAGACTGTGAAACAAATGAATTCATTTTGGAGAAATTTCTTTAAAGCAAGGAGTTCTTGATAGGTATTTTCTCCCATTGGCCTTCAAGTTCACATTGAATGGTTGCTGTGACTATGCAGGGGACTGCTCTCCTCGGGCAGTATTCCTCTGGAAGAGCTTGGACGGATGTGGACGCTCCCTAAGCCTCCTTCTATGGGGCCCTGAACCTCTCTCTTTATGCATACATACTGCAAGGACAAGTATTGCAGGAAAAGTAGAGGCACTCCTTTTGTCATACAGCAGGTCTCTCCAGCTGCTGAGTTCATGTTAATAAGCTACACGGTGAAGAGGAGATCCCTGTGCTGTGGAAGTAAAGCCAATTAAACTAAGCCCATAAAAGAGTCCTGAAGTTATCCTGTCAGCAAGAAGTAAGATACATTTGATCAAAAACCCAGTTCTATGAGAAGACTTCACAATAGGAAGAGGACACAAACAAAGGCAGGATCACTAATTACTACTGATTTCCCTTGACTAGAAGCCAGAAGTTTGAGGAACAGGTGGTTGGCAGGTCACAGTGCCAGCTGCTGGAAGCAGATAAACTTCTGAGGGAAGAAGACCCTCCCACACACACAGGATTGTCAGACATACCTTTGAGATGGAATATTACTATAAATGAAAAATACATTTTCCCTATCTCAATTTCCCTATGCACAAAATGAACTCCCTATCCCCATTTACTAAGCCATACTGTCTCAACACTCAAATCTCTATCAAAAAAATTATCTGATCTTAAAAATAACTTGGAAATTTATGTTTTATTACACACACACACACACACACACACACACACACACACACCACCACTCCACCCACTAC